AGTAGTGAAGAGGCTCGGGAGCGACTTCTGGTTGAGAACCTCTTGAAACTGTCGGGCGAGCACAGTGTGACACACCACGAACCCCTTCAGCCAGTAGTGATGCAGCCCGTCGAGTCCCGGACTTTTCCAGTTCGGGGCCCTACGGACCGCCTCAGCTACGTCATCCGGCGTTATGGTGACGGGGTCCATGGGCGTAATACCCACATTGACTCGCCACAACTTCCGTCCAAGGGCCCTGTAATGAGGGTACATTAAATACATAAGTGATTAATTGTAAAAAGGCTCGTCGAACAGTCACGAATAAACCGTCAATCCGCTTACCCGTGTCTTATTTACGAAATACACTACAGTGGCGACGAGGATGGGATTGTTTTTATTTTTCGGTAAATTACGTGGACGCATATATTAAATATAATGTCAATCGGCAAAGTGAGTGAATTCAACGTCAAAACAGGAAACTGGACTTTATACGCGGAGAGACTAGAAATGTACTTTACGGTAAATGCAGTGAAAAACGAAATGTGGTTGCCGACATTAATCGCCGGTATGGGAGACGAAGCGTACGAATTATTAAGTAATTTAACAAGTCCGATTAAACCGGGAGATAAATCGTATCAAGAAGTGGTAAAAATACTTCGGGAACATCTTCAACCGAAACCCTCGTTCATGGCGGAGCGATATCGTTTTCGACAAAGAAGACAGTTGAACGGAGAAACGATTCCGCAGTATATAACCGAACTTAAGAAATTGTCGAAATACTGCGAGTTTCATTCAACTCTAGAGGACAATTTAAGGGATCAATTGGTGTGTGGGCTAAGAAGTGATGTCATCCGTCAACGATTATTCGCAGAAGATAATCTGAAATATTCCTTAGCCGTGAAAATAGCTTGCGCTTTAGAGGCGGCGGAGCGGGATTCGGCCGCGGTGGAGCAGGCGGGCGGCGGCGACGGGCTCGGCGGTAGCGGCGCGGACAGCGCCTTGCATGCGGTGACGTCATCGACAAGCCGCGCTCGAACGCGGGAGCAGGACAGCGCACCGAGGGCTTTTAAAGGTCGAGAACATGGCGGCGGCAATGCGCTATATTGCAGAGCGTGCGGGTCGAGGTACCACCGAAGTGATGATTGCCGCTATAAGAAATTCGTGTGTGGTAAATGCAAACAGAGCGGTCATCTACGCCGGGTATGTCCCAAACGAGGGGAGTACACGGGAAATGCGGGCTCCCGACGCCACATGTACCATGTGGAGGCGGCAGAGTGCGAGACACCGTCAGCGGACGACGAGCCACCATCCGTGGAAAGTCAAACGGAGTTACAGGAGGATCTACACCATCTATGTTTAAATAGCTATAAACCGGTGAGCCTAACATTATTATTAGACGGATTTAAACTTAATATGGAAATTGATACCGGGTCGGCAGTGTCTTGTATAAGTAAAGCGACTTATAATAAATATTTTTACACTAGACCTATGGACAAGTTCGATCTGGTTCTAAAATTTTATGATGGAAGTCGAATCAAACCTTTAGGCATCATCAAGCCCGAAGTTAGATATGGAAATATAACAAAGCACTTAGAACTGTTTGTAATAGATGGGGGGCACGACTTCATTGTTGGGTAGACAGTGGCTGTCGGAACTGCAAATTAAAATTCCGACATTCCACAGCATGGTGCTGGATGACCATTTTAATAACAATAATTTGTCATTATTATTCGACAGATATAACAAGTTGTTTTCCGGCGGCTTGGGGCGGTTCGCGGGCGGCAAGGCGACGCTGCGAGTCCGGGAAGGGGCGACACCGGTGTTCTGCCGCGCACGACCTTTGCCCTACGCGCTCAAGGACCGCGTGGATGCTGAGCTGGATGCGATGCTTCGGGAGGGGGTTATTGAACCCGTGGAGAGCTCTGACTGGGCTACACCTCTGGTGCCGGTACGTAAGGCGGATGGTGGGCTCCGAATTTGTGCTGACTATAAAGTGACGCTCAACCCGGTATTGCTGGTCGATAGATTTCCCTTGCCTAGGATTAATGATTTGTTAGTAGGTATGAATGGCGCTAGAATATTCTCTAAAATCGATCTGTCACAAGCCTACAATCAGATCGAACTAGATAACTCCAAAAACCTTACCGTTATAAATACACATAGGGGCTTATTTACGTATAACAGGCTAGTATATGGGTTGTCATCAAGTCCAGGAATTTTCCAGCGTATAATGTCAAATCTTTTTCACGATATCGAAAAGGTAGAAGTATTTTTAGACGATATAATAATAGGTTCTTCTAATGAAAGAGAGCATTTACAAATATTGGAGAAGGTGCTTAGTAGATTACATAAAAACGGAATGAAGCTGAGGAAAGACAAATGTTTATTCATGGTGGACGAGGTCAAGTATTTAGGGTATATTATTTCAAAAGATGGCATTAAAGTTGATCCTGACAAGGTAGCTGCTATAGTAAAAATTCCGCGCCCCAAGGACGTTTCGGACTTAAGATCATTTTTAGGATTAGTCAATTTTTACGTTAAGTTCATTAAAAATTTAAGTACTACCTTAGCCCCACTTTTACCGCTTATTAAAAAAAGGGTGTTACTTGGGACTGGGACAGAAGTTGCGAGGATTCTTTTTAAAAAAAAATTAAAAAAAATCTTAACCAGTGCTGAAGTATTATTGCATTACGATCAAAACAAACCGTTAATATTGACGTGTGACGCTAGCGCTCGAGGTATAGGAGGCGTGCTCACTCAGCCGTGCGCCGGCGCAGCGGGAAGCGAGCGGCCGGTGGTCTATGTGTCGAGAGCTCTCAGCGACGCGGAGAAACATTATTCACAAATTGATCGCGAGGCTTTAGCAATTGTTTTTTGCTTAAAAAAAATTGCATCAATACCTGTATGGTCGACGGTTCACCTTACGTACTGATCACAAGCCGCTTGTCAGTATTTTTGGCCCAAAACATGGCATTCCTTTAATGGCTGCGAGCCGATTGCAGCGTTGGGCGATTACGGTATCCGCTTACTCTTATAACATAGAGTACGTTAGTAGTAAACAGAACTGTGCGGACGGCTTATCTCGTCTACCGGTATCGGTTCAATCCACAAAGAACGAATGTTTAGAATTACCTGAACAAACGTATTTACATTTCGCTCAAAGTGAAATGTTACTGGATTATAATGAAATTAAAAAACAAACCCAGCGCGATCCGGTTTTAGGTAGAATTATACTATACTTAAGAGAAGATTGGCCCACCGATAATGAGGTCAAATCATTGCAACCGTATTTTAACCGAAAAAAGGAACTATACGAAGAACTAGGGTGCATCATGTGGGGTCATAGAGTAGTCATACCGGAGAATTGCAGGGGTAGGGTGTTAAACGAACTCCACGAATGCCACATGGGAATCGTCAAAACGAAGGCGGTAGCTCGAAGCTATGTGTGGTGGCCGGGGATCGATGAGGCAATCGAAACGATGTGCCGAGCGTGCGTCGTGTGTGCGGCCGAGGCGGACGCGCCCCAACGGCACACTCCAAGCCCGTGGCCATGGCCAGCTAAGCCTTGGTCTTGTATACATATAGATTTTTTAGGGCCAATTTTCAATAAAATTTACTTGGTAATAATTGATGCCAGAACTAAATGGCTAGAGGTGTTTTATGTACCGAGTACAGCAGCTAGCCACACTATAGTTAAACTTTCCGAAGTTTTTGCTAGGTGGGGTCTACCTAAACAATTAGTATCAGACAATGGGCCGCCATTTACCAGTAGGGAATTTTCTCAGTTTTTAACAAATAATGGTATACAACATGTTTTCACCGCACCGTACCACCCGGCTTCAAACGGTGCCGCGGAAAACGCAGTACGCACTGTCAAGAAAGTTATTAAAAAGGCAGTGAGGGAAAATAAAGATATAAATTTATTTTTAAACACTTTCCTATTGCATTATCGAAATACCGAAAATTGTACTACGGGCGAAAGTCCCGCTTCTCTCATGTTAGGAAGAAGATTACGTACTAAACTAGACATACTTAGACCGGATATTGAGAATAAAATTATTAAAACTCAAATAAACCAGAAAGAGAACGCTCCCACTGGTGAACGTGGCCTGCAGCCGGGTGATGATGTATGGCTTCGCCAATATCAGGGGAGCGACAAGTGGGTAGCCGGACAAGTGACACAACGTTTGGGCGTAACGGACTACAAAGTTTTAGACACCATAGGTAAGGAGTCACATAAGCATATCGACCAGCTAAAACGTAGAATTAGTAGTTCACTGATTTATCCCCGTAGTAGTAATAGTCAGCCAAATTCGAGTTCCGAGTCTTTGTCTTGCTCCGGTGCAGAGGAAATTAATGTGCCTAGAATAAACCCTGCCATAACAGACACCGGGAGGAAATCACAAGCACCGGAGGGAACTGAAATAATAGATAAGAGTGATTGCTTAGATACGGCAAGGGAAACGTCAACACTTCGTGCTCCATCACCTCATACGTCGCCTGTGCCGTCCGCAACGCCGCCCCAGGTCTTCCGGCCGGTACGCAAGTGCCGTTTGGATAACCCCCCCGCTATAAAGAGTAGTTACCATCACACTATATTATTTTTATATACTTCTTTTTTTTAAATATTTTTTTTTCCTTTCCTGTATAACAGTATAGTATAAAATACTTATATGTATAACTAATTGTAAGTCTTAATTAAGGGGGGAGGATTGTAATGAGGGTACATTAAATACATAAGTGATTAATTGTAAAAGGCTCGTCGAACAGTCACGAATAAACCGTCAATCCGCTTACCCGTGTCTTATTTACGAAATACACTACAGGCCCTCGTTGTGGTTTACGGGCTCTGACCACAGGCTGCGCCAGAATGCGACCGTGTCGGCCTGATTCGGTACTGTGCCCGTTCCACTTACCATTGGTCGCTCCAATGATTTATAGAGCCTCTTCTGATCACTCTGGAAGAGACGATTCTGGTTGAACCGTGTCGACCTCTCGGTATATCGCTGAATTCGCTTTCCTCAAGCAGCGATTCTCTGCTTCAGGTCGTCTATGCGCTCCGTCAGTTTTTGCATTATATCCGGCTGGGACAAACTAACATTTGTCCCAGCAAACGCCATCCTGACGGTGCGCACAATCCTTGGCCTGGTATTGCCTGACCTGAAGCATATCAGTCTGCCGATGAGGGCCCTAGCCTTTGCGATACGTTCTTCAATTCTTGTTCTCCAGGCTGGGATAGCACTACTTTGTCCAGTAGTGCGTCCAGCCGTGGAAAGTGTGGCGCCTATAATACGGCAGACTGCCAGTGCGGCGCCAAAGAGAATTGAGTCCGTCTCGCAAAGGTCCCGGCTGGCTTCCAAATAGGTCACCAGCATTGGGTTCAGAGCCCTCGCGACAGCCCGATTCCGCTTGCTTAGGGCTATGCGGGGAAGTCGCGGTCGATTTTCGAGAGGCGTACTGCGCGTTTCCATAATCGCCTCTTCCAATGTACTCCTCATTTGCTCTATTTCTAGTTCCTGGGTGAATGTTCCATCATCATTTGAATCAGCAACCACTGGGGTATTCTCGGCGGTATCCTCGTGTGCGGGTTGTTCTGCAACTTGTGGCACCGCACCCCCAGTCGTAGCGTTTTCATTTGATGAGGGAACAGCCTCATCGTCGTAGCCGTTCGAGTTCGGCGCCATCAAATATATTTGAGCGTAAGATATACCGAACTCGGTCTGCCAGGTTTTGCTCGGTGACAGTAATAGATGGCTCCAGCTCAGTAAAATGACGATGCATCCTAGCCCGATACGCGAAACCTCCAGTTTCTCCCCCTTTCGCCCTAAAATACGCCCGCAATGCGTTTGTATTCATATTGATGGTTCATCGCATGCGGCGTACTCCACCAGTGGCGGGTGCCGATTGCTGGGTCTGAGAAGACCCTGCCGACACCAAGCAAACTGGTAGGGATGATGGATGCGAGGGGCTGCTGGGTGGTCGTGCAGCACCTCGCGCTCGGCTGGCGGTTCGCATGCTGTCGCGTCCAGCGCCAGCTCCAGACGCGCCTTGACGACCTCCAGGCAGCGGCTCTTTGCGCAATGTTCTGTGTTCCATCATCCATACAGGGCGTCATTTAACGGGAGACGCCCAGACCCGGCGCCGTTTCATCGTGAGACCATATGCACAAGTGGGCCCTTGCACCATCAATTTTTGCCGAGGCACGGCGCTCACACCTCTTGGCAAGGTGCTGACTGACTGCGCGGACGTAGCGGTTTTGTCACATAACCGTCACGTCAGCGGGCGATGGGGTCGTCACTTCCCTACGCCATTAATATTATTATTATTATTATTTAAGGGACATTTATAGAGTATTCTTATCTGGCTGGGCTGAATATATATATCATTATAAATCACCAGAGTGATCAAAAGAGGCTCTATAAAGATTTATAGAGCCTCTTTTGACCACTCTTGAAAAGACGATTCTGGTTGAACCGCCTTGACCTCTTGGTATATCACTGAATCAGTTTCCCCCAAGCAGCGAGTCTGCTTCTGCTGGTACAAACTGACAATTGTCCCAGCGAACGCCATCCTAACCGTGTGCATAATTCTCTGCCTGTTATTGCACGACCTGAAACTTAGTGATACGGCCCTAAATTCTTTTTCTCCAGCTAGGATGGCGCTACTTTATCTAGTAGCGCGTCTAGCCGTGGGAAATTAGGCGCCAATAATACAGCAGACTGCCAATGCAGTGCCAAAAAGATTTGAGTCCGTCTCGCTTCTGAATAGTTAACCACCATTGGTTTAAAAGCCCTCACGACAGACAGATTCCGCTTGCTTAGCGGTACGCTGGAAAGTCGCGGTCGATTTTCGAGAAGCATACTGTGCGTTTCCAAAAACGCCTATTCTAATATGCTCCTCATTAGCTCTTATTCATGGAAGACTATTTCATCATCGTCTGAATCAACCACAACTGGGAGACGACATCCACGTGTACAGATTGCTCTGCAATTAGTGGCGCCACACTCTCAGCCGTAGCAGTCTTATCCGAAGAGGGATCAGCCTCACGTCGTAGTTGTCCGAGTCGGTGTCACCAACTATGTTTGAGCGCAGGATGTACCGAACTCGGTCTGCCAGGTTTTGCTCCGTTACACAAACAGATGGCCCCAGCACAGCAAAAAAGCGATGCAACCGAGCCCGATACGCCAAACTTACAGTTTCTTCCTCTTTTGCCCCAAAATACGCCCGCAATTCGTTTGCGTTTATTAATTCCGTCCAATGCATGCAACGCATGCCCCTGAGTCCGAGAAGACCCAGCCGACACCAAGCACTCTGGTGGGGACGATGGATGTTGGGGGTGGCTAGGTGGTCATGTAGCCCCTCGCGTTCGGCTAGTGGCCCGCATGCTCTCGCGTACCTTGGCGACCCCCAGGCAAAGGGTCGCACTCTTTTTTCTTCCATCATCTATAAAATGGGCGTCAATTGACGAGAGACGCTCAGGCCCGGCACCGTTTCTTAGTGAAGTTGTAAGCACAAACGGGTCCTTGTAACTTCAATTCTGTCGAGACTCGGCACTCGTACCTCTTGCCAAGGCGCTGACTGACTACGCTGACGTAGCAGTTTTGTCACACAACGTGTTTGGGATTTAAATACGTAATCTCTTAAGCCACAATTACCCCAGAAAATTGTTACAAATCTCAAGACCGATGCGACCAAACCATGACATGCTACTAATGCAGTCTCAAGGTCAACTTTTTTGAAAGCTTAAAAGGAACATATGCTGCAGTGCTTAACTTTTTGCTCACCTCTTCTACTTGCGGTTTCTATGTTAATTGATGGTCGATAAGAATTCTTAAAAAAATAGTGATCTTTGTTTTATTGATGACTTATCCATTGTACAGAACATTAACTTTCGGTGGAATTGTAAGTTGATGAAAGTGCATCACATTGGTGCTTAGTAAGTTTATTACTAGGTTGTTTTTATCAAGTCAATAAATAAGATTTTTACTCTTAATGTTGATATCCTCTTCATAATTACTCATATTTCTACATTTTATCAGTGCTATGCTGTCATCGGAAAATAGGACCATTGAATTTTGTATTTGACGGGGCAAATTATTTAAACACAACGAAATTAGTAGAGGACCCAATGCAGTACCTTGTAGTACATCAAATATAACTACTTTACCTTCATATTGCTATTTTTGTTATTTAAGGAAAATCTTGGAGATATCCACGTATTGTGTTCGGTTACTGAGGTAAGATTTTACGAGATCCAGCTCGTTTCTCCTTATACCGTAGCTGTTAAGCTTGTTTAATAAAATATCGTGACTGACACAGTCAAAAGTTTTGGTCATGTCTGTAAAAATGGCACAGATTGAATTATTTATTTACATTCATCATTATATCGTGTAAAAACGTATAGCTGTATTAATTTTTATTATTTCTAAAACCTGCTTTTTATTTACATACTATGTTGCTTTTTGTCAGATAATTATTAATTGATTCAGAGATAATAATCGTTACTATCTCTTTGGAAAACACTGGAATAAATCTGCTTCATTTAATTTAATTTCATAGTGAATATGTTTCTATAACTTAAGTCATTGTGTTGTACTATCTTCGGCTACATCAGCGCTTACCATGAGGTGGAATAGTAGTCAAGCACTGCTTCATTCATTAATTTTCCATTGAAATGTCTTCTTTCACTTAAATTGCACAATGTAAGATTTATTATTTTAATTTTTTTAAAACGTAAAGCACCCTGCAGCAATGTCTTAGTCTTAGTTATATGAACTTTACAATGAAAGGTCATATAACCCTAATGTCGAATTTAGGGAATATGTAAAAAAATAATCCAAAATTTTTAAAAGAGTGTGCTCCATAGCCAAGTCATTGTATTGGAGCAACAAAATAAAGACGGCTTCTAATAAAATTAAAATGACATGGAGTATAATTAATAGTGAAACTAGTAAGGTTAACTCTCGCAATTCGAACTACCAGTTAAGTTTTAATAATAAATTAACTGAATCAGATCAGGACGTTGCAATGGTCTTCGAGAAATATTTTACTGATATTCCTATCTTAACCACTAAGTCACTGAATTCTTCTCCTGCCGTCGCCGAATCATTACTTAAACAAAATGTAAATGCGTGTACAAAGAATTTTTCATTTCATAAAGTGTCATCACAAGATATTCTAAAATATTTTAAGACTATTGATATTAACAAAACCGCCGATTTATAGGGGATTTCCGTTAAAGTAATTGCGTCTATAATAGATGCATTCGCACCTCAACTATCTATTATTTTTATTACTAGTATCAAATCTGGTGTGTTTCCTGATTTAATGAAGCATAGTAAAGTAATACCTTTATTTAAATCTGGCAGTACATTGGACCCCGCTAATTTTAGACCTATTTCTGTACAGTCAACACTTAGTAAAATTTTTGAAAAAATTATTCTTGATCAAGTGTTAAATTTTTTAAATGTAAATAATTTACTTCATAAAAATCTATTCGGTTTCACAAGGGGTCGCTCGACAACTGATGCTGGTGTTGAGTTTATTAAATATATATTTAATGCATGGGAGAATTCACAGGATGCCTTGGGTATATTCTGTGACCTATCCAAGGCCTTCGATTGTGTTCACCATGAAACATTAATCAGGAAACTTCAACTCTATGGTGTAAGAAGTGATGCTCTTAAATTAATTATTTTATATTTAAGTGACAGAATGCAAAAAGTTGTCATTAATAGTATGAGTTCTTCCGGGTCGACTGTACAAATGGGCGTGCCTCAGGGCTCAATTCTAGGCTCGTTTCTGTTTCTTGTATATATTAATAACTTACCTTACATAGTAGGGGATAACCAATATATAGTATTATTTGCTGATGATACTTCATTAATTTTTAAATTAAAACGACGGTTATTAAATTACGACGAAGTAAGTAATGCTATAGCTAAGTTAGTCAATTGGTTTAATGTTAATAATTTGCATTTAAATGGTACTAAAACTAAATGTATGAAATTCATAACTCCTAATGTCAAACATATTAATACCAATGTATTTTTAAATGGGGAAGATTAAAGTCTTGTTGATACCACCATTTTTCTTGGAATCACACTAGATGCAAAGCTTCAATGGCACCTCCATATATCAAAACTAGCTAACAGACTTAGTTCTGCAGCATGTGCTGTAAAAAAGATTAGAACTCTTACTAGTATTGAAACAGCTAGAATAGTTTACTTTAGTTATTTCCATAGCATTGTCGTATGGTATTTTGCTATGGGGATACGCTACTGACACTGAAATTATATTTATTTTACAGAAGAGGGCCATTAGAGCAATATATAATTTTAAACCAAAAGAGTCACTGAGACAAAAATTTAAGGAAATTAATATATTAACTCTGGCCTCTCAATATATTTATGAAAATGTAATGTACGTACACAAGAATAAACGTCCTTTTGCAAAAATATGTGATATTCATTCTGTAAATACTAAGAATAGACACAGACTAGTGGTACCAGTTACTCGACTCCACAGGGTCAGTAATTCATTCTTGGGGCGACGTATACACTTTTACAATAAAATCCCAGAAAATATACAAAATTTGTTATACCCAAAGTTCAAAAATTTTATTAAACTAAGTTTGTATACATAGCGTTATTATAATATTGTTACGAGCTTGAGGTTCGTGACAATAAAAATTGCCGATAGAATTACCTAAATTAACACTTTAATTCACTTTAAACTAATTAAAGTTAAAAACACTAATAATTAATCACACTGATTTACTTTATTCCGCTCCGAAGCTTCGCTTGTCTCGCCAACTTCACTACTTCCCCGATCGCACCTTGCAGCGCCTATAAATACACATTAGTACCGAATCATCCAGAACATTCAAGTAAATACGCGCACCAATCGACAAACCGCCGAAAGTTCGAGAGTCAGCTTCCGGAAGCTTAGTTCTTCGTTTCGACAACAGATGGCGCTGTCGGTTGAAAGATTAGTGATGTCATTTTCTGGAAAGCTCTCCCCTCGCTCCGTTACCCGACACTAAATGGCGCTAGTGCCGGATGTAAACTTAGCCGCGCAATAATATTAAGGAATTTGTGGATGATAATAACCCCTGGGAAGAGTAATCGCTACCAAGCTATTTCTAATTAGTTTTGTGTTGTTATTTGTAAACATTGTAAGCTATTATTTGAAAAAAAAAATAGTCCCGCTGGGTTTCTTGTTGATTCTTCCCAGGATAGAGTTTTTTTTTGCGATCCAGTGGTAAGTGAAAAAATTGACTTTCAATAAGTATTGTTTGTAATCTACATTGAATAAAAAAAGTTACTGTTTCTGTTTCTGTCGCTTCGAAATTTTATGTGCTGTAAGTGATTTTGAAATTATGATTTGGAACCACATAAACTGTATCCACGTCGTTACTGAAGATATTGGCTGAAATATTATTTAGACTTCAATACCTTAAAAAGGAAAAAAAAACGTAACCCTTACAGGATTACTTTGTCGTTCGTCTGTCCTTCAGTCAAACCCTGTCTTCTTAAGAACGAGTATCAAGTTGCAATGAGAATAAATGTTTGAGTTGGATTGGGTAGACGTACTATCTACATACAAAATTAAGTTTGTATGAAACCCTTAGGGCGTTAGCCCTATTTGCACTTGTCCAGTTCTTTGTAAGTTACTTCTTCTGCATTAGATATTTCTCACCGACCGTGGTCCCACGCTAGTGTACTCAGTATCGCTAGCAACGCTTCGAGTGACGACATCTGCTAAAATTAAAGTAACATATGAACTTACCGTCTACTTTATGGTGAAGTGATTTCTGCAGTCCACGAACACTTGCAACAAACTTCAAAGAAGCGTTTGAGGGCTAAGATGAAATATCTCTATACATATATACTCTGATTCTATAATGGCTCCTTAGTTCTGGAAAATTGAACTGAATATATTATCATTTAATACCTTTATGGAGCTTTGTCTTTGATACGTGCTTAAAACCTGTGAGAATTAAATGACAACTGTCAAATTCCCGTAAGTGGGTTTTCTCTTAGGAAATGTATAGAAATCTTCTTACTAAAAGAATAAGTGACATGAAGCAGAATATGTTATTTTACATGGCAGGAAAACAACTTTGTTGTTGTAAAATACGAATAACTATTCGTACACATGTATATTAACACATTAAATTCCTTAAGTACTGATTTTTCAAACTTCAGATAAAAGCATAACTTGCTTATGCATACTCTAAGCATAAAATACAATATAAAGAAACTAAAAACTACAGCTGTATGAATTGCCTACGTATGTACGTAATTACTTTAAGGTATGAATAAAATAGTTCAAATGATTTACTTTGTATTTAGTTGTTAAATGGCAGGGCGCGGATCGCGAACTCAAAAAGGCCGTGGGTTCGAATCCGCTATTCGACTACTGGCTTGAACCACTCG